AAAAAGTTCAATGAAAATAATGTAAATACATCCAATCCTCGCTTCATTGTCAAATTCGGGAAAAATCAAATTGATGATTTCAATAATGTAATTACGATGATCCTCAAAGAATTGCCTTACTGAGCTGGTTGAATCTACCACAAAAAGCGTATCAAAGGGTAATTTGCAATCTGAAGTAGAAAATAATATTGATTATAGCATTTCAATTGTTATTCTGATTTTTTTTTCGAACTTTATTTAATAAATTGGAGTTTTTGAATCACAAAATTGAAATATGATAATTTTAAAGTTAGATATCAGTTTAATCTCTATTGTTTAAATTTAACCACGCTAAAATATCTAAGTTTTCCATAATTAATCCAGATTTTCAAATTAATTCATAACCAATGATTTAATGAGTTTAATAGGCTTGCTATTACGACAAAGTTAGTATAACCCAATCGTTCACCTGAAGATGGAATCAGTCGACTTTGTGGTCTCCTTGATTCTGTAAATAGCGATGGCAAATGAGTTGTTCTCGATGTTCTACTCTGAAAACATAAGGTTTAATTAGCTCAATGTATATGGATTACTAATTTATCTCGCTCCTTTCACAGCATTGTTAATAGGATTTTAAGATTTTTTTGGCTCACACTTAATGTTTTAATTGGTTCATTAGACTAATCCAGAATGATAGATTAGTAAAAACAGTTCTTATACTGTTAAATTTCATACAAGAAATTAATGAGAAATTAATTAGCCGTACCGTTTGATTACGAGTTATTCTGTTGGTTATTTGCGGAACACGTGATGTTCTCGATTGTTTTGTCACGATTAATGCAGGTCTTCTTGAAGTAAAAATAATCCGAGGACGTTGTGTGGTAACTGATTGACGTGTTGTTTGAAGTGTAGTTCTTGTAGTTGACAATCGGCTTGAAAGTGATTGAAATTTTGATGATGAAATTATAGTACGTTGTTTAAGTGATGGGAATTTGTATGTTTGTGGAAATGAATTTATTGTTGTCGAAATGTACGTTTGTCCACTTTTTTGTTGAGCAGTAGTTGATTGCGTTACAGCTATTGATGTTGTTTCACTTCCGATCGGTAATCCATAAGTTATGTTTTCAGTAAGATGAAGTAGCTGTGGAGGTGATGACTGACCTTCCGGTCGAATGATTTGTTTGCTATCATTTTCATTATCACTTTCTGAATACGAAGGTTTATTTGTAAAAGAGACTTCTTCGAGATCATTTGATGCATAATTTGATGGCGGTATCGGAGCTGGCGGTGCCACTTCACCATATTGTGCCTTGCAAACCTTTGAATAAAGTGATTTAACACTAACTTAAATTAATTACTTAAGATTCAAATTTAGTTTAATAAAATATTTGACATAAAATCTAATGATATCCACAATGTTTTATATGAATTTGAAAAAAAAAATTACAAAAATCCTGCCAAATGGAAATATCAATGTTTGTTGTTATCTACTAAATGATAAAACATAACAAAACATATTTAAATTTTAAATATACATATAATCATACTCATATATCTGTTCTATTACATTATATCTCATTCTATTTCATTTGTCTCTTCTTCATTTTGTTTAAATTTATTAAATTTTATTCTATTTTAAATTATAACATATTAAGGAATGTTATTTTTTAGGTGGAGGGAAGGGAGTGGGTGGGATTTTAGAGAATTGAAGTTGAAGAAGACGAGAAAATAAATCTAAGTTTACTATTAAAAAGGTATGTGAAAAAAGAAAAATGAAGGAAAGAAGATATTAATGAGAAAGTAAACAAATTGTTTACAATAACTTACAGCAATTAGCACAACAATTAGTAGAATTTGAATCATTCGACGTTGCTGTAATACATTTCAATTATTGCATATAGTAATTTATAAAATTTAAATTAATTTCTTTT